TCTCTCTCTCACTGTCCACTCTGCCTATCAAAAAATAAAAATAAAATAAAAAAAGAGAAAGATGTCACTTGTTTCCTGGATTGCATAATTTCTGATGAGTACTCTGCCAATGCTTATTATCTTTTTTTCTCTCTAGGAAATGTGTCCTTTTAAAAAACAATTTGTGCATTTTCTTTGAAAATCAGAATGACAGAGAGAGCTTCCGACTGCTAGTTCATTCCTAAAATGGCCACAATAGCCAAGGCTGGACCAGCCCAAAGCCAGGAGCCAGGATTTCTATCTTCATTTCCTGGTCAGGGCCCCAACACTTAGACAATTTTTTGCTGTCTTCCCAGACACATAAGCAGGAGGCTGGATTGGAAGTGGAGCAGCCAGGACCCTGCACTCCAGTGTAGGATGAGGGTGTTGCAAGCAGTGTCCTTGTCCTAACCCATGGTACCCGAGGCTGACTCTGAAATGTGTCCCTTTTCCCTCTGGCTCCCTCAAGATTTTTTTCTTTCCTTTTCAGCAGTTTGGTGTAGCTAGTTATGGAGCTGCTTTGTTTGTTGTTTGTCTTGTCAGTATTCCCTGAGTGTGGTTTCGTGTCTGTCATTATTTTGAGGCAATTGTTGAACATTATAGCTCTTCAGACATTTTTCTGTTCCATTCTGTCGCTTCTCCTTGGACAACCCCCATCAGCTGCATTGTGTTGTGTTGTTCTGCAGCTCTTTCTTTTCTGTTTTATTATTATTATTATTATTATTATTATTATTCGGTTGTCTTTAAGTTCACTGATTCATTCTTCAGTTATGTGAAGTTTACTGAAAGACCTAAAGAGGAATCCATCTCTAATATTGCGGTTTTTCTTAGCGAATATTTCCATTTGAGTCTTTTCTTAGACACCCCACATCTTTGCTGTGGTTCTCTCGTTTCCTGCATGTTGTGCACCTGTTTCCATTGGGTAGAATACTGCATGTCATGTGTAGGACTGAGTCAAGTAGTGCTTTTGTGTGAAAATCAGTCTTTTTTCTTCTGCCAAGCTGCAAATGGGTGAGGTAGAGATGAGCTGAGTTTACGCTGTTTCATGCTTCAGGCTCCTCTGGGGGAGGGCTGCCGTGGCCTTAGGCTTAGAGTGAGGGTGAGGGTCCCTGAGCACTTTGCTAAGAGCTAGGGCTCCACCCTCGGCTTCCTCTGCACACCAGCAGCACCGCCGCCCTCCTGCCTGGCCGCTGCTGCCCTTGGTTCTGTGCTTGGCTCTGCTGGCACTCGGGGTCTTTGTTCTGCAGGTTTAGGCAGTGTGTCTGACCTCACGGCTGGATCTTTGCTTGCATTCTTGCTCTTCCTACCAAGGCAGCCACACTGCCTTGGACCTGTGGGTGCAGATTTGGAGGACTTTCTGGCAAACTGCATCCCAAAAATCAGGAAACATTCACTAGGCAGCAAATGAGGCTCCTCTCAAACACGACTTTTTGTCTCTCACATCACTGTACTCTTTTGATGTATTAGGATTCTATAATTCTTCTACTTGCTTAGAGAATGGACAGGTAGCACTAGGCCTTGGGCATAGTAGGGCATAATGTATTTTTATTTTTATTTATTTATTTTTGACAGGCAGAGTGGACAGTGAGAGAGAGAGAAAGGTCTTCCTTTGCCGTTGGTTCACCCTCCAGTGGCCGCCGCGGCTGGCGCGCTGCGACCGGCGCACTGCGCCTATCCAAAGGCAGGAGCCAGGTGCTTCTCCTGGTCTCCCATGGGGTGCAGGGCCCAAGCACTTGGGCCATCCTCCACTGCACTCCCTGGCCACAGCAGAGAGCTGGCCTGGAAGAGGGGCAACCGGGACAGAATCCGGTGCCCCGACCAGGACTAGAACCCTGTGTGCCAGCGCCGCAAGGCAGAGGATTAGCCTACTGAGCCATGGCGCCAGCCTGTATTTTTATTAACCAAGAAATCAGAATACAAACAGTCCATTTAGTAGTCTGACTGTATTGCTTTCATTTTGATTTCTTCCAAGTTGCAGGGAATGAAAAAGTGTGCAGGTCAGTTAGCAGCTCCCCTGGGCAGAGACAGGAAGCAGTAGTCTTTCTACAGAGACATTCTGCCCCCAGCCCAGAAGTACCACAGCAAGAGGGTCTGGAAACCAGAAATCAGACCCTGACTCTAATTAACTGCTTCTTAATCTATAAAATTACTATTATAAATCACTATTATTATAAAATTACTTAACCTATAAAATTACTATGCTTCATTTTATTTATCATATGGGGTTAATGTTTATCCTGTCTGGCAGGATTGTTGCGAGAGTAAAATGCCATCAGAGGAGAGTAAGCCCTTTACAACACTCAAATGCCTTAGAAACATGAAGCATTCCTCTGGGAAGGGTGGGGGAGTGTAGAAAAATGTGTGGGTGAGGAATCTGAGGTGTCCTTTTGACACGTGCATGTCCACAATGTGAGAGAGCACATCAATATGAAAGACAGCAGAATTAGGAGGAGATCTTCCTCTTACTAAAATTAGCGTGATGGGATGAAGGTTAATTAAGTCCTTCTCAATCAGGCAAGGGTGCATTTTTAAAGGGAAGTAGTGTGTGCGAGATCTTACACACACTGGGGAGTCGCGAGTCTCGTTTCCCACTGGTGCCCGGGGAGCTCACCTGTGTTTGGAGCACTCCTAATGTGACACCCACCATGCTGCCTCAGCTCTAGAGCGCATCCGCTGAGCGGTTTGGGCACTGGAGCAACCCACACTTGCAATTGGAAAACACAGCAGAGCCAGAGAGAATCCCAGTGCCGTCACAAAGGTTATTTCCCTCTGCCACCTTTCATTCACACAGCAGAGTAGTCCTCTGCAAAGAGGAGCAGAGCACGCACAGTGCAAGGTAGAGTTTGGTCTCCTCTTTTGCAACCTGTGATTCGCAGCAGAAACCTTCAGCCATGGCTGTTAGGTCTGAGCAGGGGTCGGTGAATTGCTGCCTGCAAGCCAAATCCAAGCTGCTGCCTGTTTTTGTAAGTGAAATTATATTGCAGCACAGCCACTGCCATTGCTTTACATATTGTGTGTGGCTGCTTTTGTGTTGCTATGGCAGACTTGAGTGGATGCATCAGACACTATTTGCCATCTGGCCCGTAGCAGAGAGTTCGCGTGTCCCTGGTCTAGAGCAATAATGCCAGTTTTTTCTCCCCTCCCCATAGGCATTACTAAGACAAATTTGTTTTATTCTGGTCTCTCTTTTTCTTTGATTTAATGAATTAGTCACTGCTTTATATTTTGTATCTGAGAATAATGAGACTAATTCTTGATTATTATATGAGAATAATTGTGAATTTGTATTTCAGCATATTAATGAGAGAAAAAGAATGCACCTTCTCTCCATTTGGGGGAGAATGGGCAGTTGTCAAAAAACATTTCACTAGAAAAGTTTCCAGAAGAGAGAAGTGGCGAAATGCTATGGTAACAGTCCATGAGGATGCAATGAGTCAGACCCGGATTATGAAAAATTCTTCATGAAAAAGGACCCAGTTTTCTTTAATAAAAATAGACATGGATGAGTTAGTGGAGTTGTGGAGATTGAAAGAGACTTAAAGAACCTTTCAACCTACTGCAATATGTGGGCCTACAAATTTGAACAGCCAAGCTAAGATAGTTGGAGACGATGAAAGAATCTAAACATAGGTGGAGGTGAAGGTGCTATTTTATTATATTTTATTGTCTTCCTTATGATAATGGTATTGTGGTTTCTTTGACGTAGGCATATCTGTTAGAGGTAATCAGTCGCAGTTTCAATGATGAAATACATGATGGCTGAGAGTTGCTTTCTCCTTAAGCTCCTACAGCAAAAAAAGAAGCAAACGAGTCTGGCGGTTTAGATCGATAATACTGGCAAAAGGTCAATATTTTTGGAACCAGGCTGAGGGCACTTGCAGTTCATATAGTTTTCACTTAGACTTCATGTATGTATGCAATTTTTCCTTATAAAGTATTTTTCCCTAAATTCATATGTGTTAAGTATCGAAAAGTCAAATCCTGGTGCTGTCAGCCATGTCTGCATCTGTTAAATGGGGATTGTAGGTCAGATTGTATACAGCTTTCTGAGGGCTATGAGCATGAAATGAGACGGTGGAGAGTTTAGCACAATCCCTGACAACAGGAGGACATCTGTCCCTGGTTGCTGTTGTCCCTGTCATCAAGCTATCACTGTATAATGAGTCTAGTTTGTTTAGGATGTGATCGACCTTTGTGAATAACAGAGCTTAAACCTGTATTGCTGCACAAAGATGTGATTTTTCCCCCCAAGATATATGTACTCCAAAGCAGTCTGGAAGCCATCATAGCCCCTGTAAGATACATGGTGGGGACAAGAGTGGTGGCCTACCATGGAAATCAGGAACACAGTTGGAATGTCAGATCCATGTAACAATTTGGCTCTTCCATGAGAGTAGGTTTTATTTCGTTTTCTTTTAATCACGGTTTTCTGTGAGCTGGGTAACTCATGCCAGTCCACTTATTTACCCAGCATGAGCCTGGAAAGACAGAGGACTGTGTTGGATTTGACAGATTTCCCCATTTGAGTTGCCATTGTCTCTCTTTAAGAACCTGATGCTCCTACTGAACCCAGGGGAGGCTTAGTCACAGGACACTCCTGTAAGTCAGTGTGCCCTTATCCAGCCACTGCGAGTCAACTGCTCATTAGCCAGTGTGTATCACACAGAGTTACAGGAAAACACAGGGACTTAAAAATGCAGGATTTTAAAGCAAAACAAAAACATTTCATCCATCAGTTACTTTGAGTGGTTGAAATTAACTCGTCTTCCCCTACAGACTGGTACCCTTAAATTCACCATTTTTTGAGTGTCCCGAGGAAAATTATTTTCTGCGAGAACTGTTGGGAAGCATATTATTCATAATAGCTTTTTTTAAAAAAGGAAAATATTGGGAATGTGTTAGGGGACGTTGAGGAAGCAATGTTTTAATTAAACTGAGTGATATCAAACCTGTGCTCTTTTTTTTTTCCTGTTCTTCTACAGAATGACATCACTCCTTTACATGTGGCTTCAAAAAGAGGAAATGCAAATATGGTAAAGCTGTTGCTTGATCGAGGAGCTAAAATCGATGCCAAAACCAGGGTAAGAGCACAATTCACGTCCATGCTGATGCTTATTTTCAGGGTATGCAAATACTTTCCCAGATACCTTTACTGGTTTGACCCTGGCTTTGTCTTTGTTGCCTTTATTTCAGTTGCCTAGGAAATGACTGTTACATTCATTCTTCATAAAATGGGGTGACAACCCCCAGTTATAAATCTTCAATGTGTATTTAAATAGTGCCTGTTTTTAATTAAAGCAACAAGACTTAAGATGTAGGATTCTTATTGAGTTCAATTTCAAGAATCACTTCTTGGTACTGCAAGATGAGCTCTGTGGTCCCTTTGATACTAAAACTGATAGTTATCCAATCTAAAAACAAATTTGTCTACCTGTATGTACTGTTGGTAAGAATGTGTAATGGTGTAGCCACTATGGAAAAGAAAATGTGGAGGTATGTCAAAAAAATTAAAAATAGAACTGTATCACTAAGCAGTCCCACTTCTCGGATACATCCCCAACAATCAAGTGGGGGATTCCATGATGCTTACACACCCATCTTCATGGCAACGTTATTCACAATAGCAAGTGGTGGGAGCAGCACACATATCCATTGACGGATGCATAAATTTTAAAGTGTAGTATAAAATGTGGTATATGGAGCAAGAATTCAGCAGTTAAAATGCCTGCATCCCATATCAGAGTAGCTGGGTTCAACTCCCATCTCTGGCTCCTGCCACCAGCTTCCTGACAATTCAGACCCTACAAAACAGTGGTAAAGGCTCAAGTAATGGGTTCCTGCTATGCACATGGGAGATCTGGGTTGCATTCCAGTTCCCAGCTTTGACTCTCACCTAGCCCTGAGCATTGCAGACATTTGGAGAGTGAATAAGTGATGGGGGCACAACACATTCTCTCTTCCAAATTAATAAATATTTTTTAAAAATATAGTATAAACAAATGATGGAATATTATTCAACCTTTAAAAAGTAGGAAGGTGTGTTTTAAGTTGTGACATCCATGAACCTGAGTACATTATGCTGAGTGGACTATTCCAGTCACAACAGAACAAATATTGTCTGATTCCATTTATATAAGATGTCCAGAGCAGTCCACATCTTAGGAACAGAAACTAGAATGGTGGTTGTCGGGGGTTGGGAGAAGGACATGGGGAGTTGGCCTTCAAAGGGCACAGGTTTTCAGTTGTATAAGATGAGCACCTTACAGAGGTCTTTTATGCTACAATATCAGTGTAGTTAACACTTCTGAAGTGCACGCTAAAAACAATTATGAGGAAAGATTTTATGTGTATTTTATCACATTTAATTTTTTAAAGGTTTATATATTTTTAAATGAAAGACAGAATGACAGAAAGGAAGAGAGAGTGCATGAGAGAAAGAGAGCTCTTCCACCTGCTGATTTACTTCTCAAATACCTGCAACAGCTGGGGCAAGGCTGGCTGAAGCCAGGAGCAGGAACTTCATCCGGGTCTCCCATGTGGATGGCAGCAACCCAAGTACTTGGGCCATCATCTGCTGCTTCCCAGGAGTATTGGCAGGAAGCCAGGTCAGAAGCAGAACTTGACCCCAGGCACTCCAGTATGTGATGTAGGCATCCCAAGCAGTGGCTTACCCTGCTACACAACATACCCACTTCTCAACTTTTTTTATTAAGAAACTTTTAAAACTCACAAATCTTTCTAGCTGGGTGCTTATGGCCTGTTGCTGATTCTGTGAGACGCATTTACCAAAGGTAAAAAACTGAGACTTAGGATTTCATTTAATCCCAGATTCTGTGCTTAGCTGGTTGACTTAGGTAGTCTCTTTAACATTTGTGCTTCTAATTTCTCTATCTAAAAGAAAATAGCACTTTGATTTACTACCACATTTGTTATTCATTGCACTTATTCACTCAACCAGTAACTGATGTCTGCTGTGGGCCAAACCCAGCAGGTGAAAGATCAAGACCACGTTTTCCCTGCCTTCATAAAGCTGATGGGCTAGTTTGTCTTCTGTACCCTGATTGCAATGCAGTCCAGTGACAGGTGTATGGGTTGAGACTCAAACTTCCTTTTTCCGGAGTATTGTACCAGAACACCATGTGAGCACCTTAAAAGAAACACAGTTTCTAGAGAGGAGAAGTGAAGGTGAAGGTTGACCCCTGATGGAGCATCTGGCAGGGAAGTAAATTGAGTAGAGGTCTGATTGGACTGACTTTGCTTTGCTTCCATAAGAAGTAATTGTTGGTCTGTAGGGAATGCTAGCACTTCACGTATACGGCAGGAGTTCTCTGCTAAGCACAAGCCATGGACAGAGGTTGTAAGGAATAAAGAGTAGAGATGCATTGCTCATGCCACTGAATTATCACATGGAGGTGAATGGTTCTTTGCAAATAGAGGACATCTTTGTGAAGGGAAATTAGGGACACAAGAGTCAAGCAAGACAGACAGACTTGAGTAGATGCCTGGGTGTGCAACCGGGGGGTTAATGCGTATATGGATTAGAAATCACCTTATTTCCCACTCCCTGGATACAGACACCAGTCTCCAGAAGCAAGATGACCTGTCAGTCATTTTGCACCATTTATCAAAGACATGCTGAATTGGCTACAATAGACAGAGGAAAGAGTATGTGGGAAGTCCAGGCCCCATCTTGGGGGCGGGGGGGTGTGCCTACTAGTCACATAGGAGGGCTAGAAAGAAACCCTAGGGATTCCTCTGGGAGAAAGTATCTTTTCTGAAACGAGGTGCACAGGCAACTTGATTTCTGAGCCGCTTTCCTCCCCAGTCAGAGGGCTGTCTTGTCTCCAGCGAAGACACAGACTCCTTTGTTCTCCCATTCAGTGTTGACTTGGGTTTCTTCTCTTGAGTATTATGTGAATGACATGTGGATGGGAGGGAAAGACTTGGAAAACCCAAGGACAGAAAGATCTGCCATTCTCCTGTTCTGCGTGGAGTGGGCTGGGGGAAGGGTGTCATTGGTGCACAGACTGAATTCCTGGTGGACTCGACGGAGGAAAGTGCCGTGTATTCTCCAGACAGGTGAACTACGTTGTGTTCTCTGCACCAGAGCTTCTCTTCTCTCTAATGAAATGAAGAGTAGTGATTGGGTGTTGTGGGTGAGACGGAGGGAGGGAGGGAGCCGAAATGTCAGGAGGCCAAATGGGGGCAACTCTCAAAGCAGAGGGTAGCATTTTTCATAGAAAGTTTCACTGCCCAACCCATTGGTTTTCCAGAAGATAGATACGGCTGTCTCCCCAGCCACCTCCCACCGAGGACCTCTCACTGCTGTGGCTACCTTGTTGCATTCCAGAAACGGACCTGGGACCCATCAGCCCCCCAAGTTTAGAGACAGAAAAACATCTCTGAACCTTGCTCAGAGGCCAGCACTGCAAGGACCTCTTCTCTTTGGCTTCATTCCCCACATAATCAGGATGACCTAATAAGGATGAAGTTTAAAAAAAAGACTCTATTATTTTTAAAGATTTATTTGAAAGGCAGATTTACAGAGAGGCAGAGAGAGTCTTTCATCCACTGGTTCACTCCCCATATGGCCGCAACAGCTGCAGCTGGATCAATCTGAGGCCAGGAGCCAGGAACATCTTCCTGGTCTTCTATGCGGGTGCAGGGGCCCAAGGACTTGGGCCATCTTCCGCCAATTTCGCAGGCCATCGCAGAGAGCTGGATAAGAAGTGGAGTGGCTGAGATTGAAACCAGTGCCCATATGGTGCCTTACCCCCTGTGCCACAGTGCCAGCCCCAAAAGAGACTCTTTCATTCAAGTAAGCAAACTTGAATTAATTGTGGACAGAGTAATGTAGGTAGGATACGAGCAAGATCTTACCAGCTGGAAAAACAGTGAATAAGAGTGAATTTTATTTTATTTAGTGTCTGAGTTCTGGTCTCAAGTATGGCCAGCAGTGGTGACATTGTGGCCTGAGAAAAGTTCACCCTCCTGAGTCGTCATGGTTTCCTCCCCAGTATGAGTAGGGGCGTTGGTCCTAATGAACTAAGAAACCTCTCAACTGGAAGAGCACTGGATATTGTGGCTTTGAAAATAATTAGTGGGGCAGACATTTGGCCTCATGGTTAAAACACAGGTTAGGGCACCCACCTGTGTCACACATCAGAGTCCAGGTTCAGTGTCAAGTTCCTGATTGCAGTTTTATGCTAACACAGACCCTGGGACACAGTCATGGAGGCTCAAGTAGTTGTGTTCCTGCTACCCCTGTGGGAGACTGGATTGAGTTCCTGATTCATGGCTTTGGACTGGCCTGGCCATGGCCATGGCCATGGCCATAGCAGGCTTTTAGGAGGAAACCAAGAGATGGAAGTGCGCTCTCTCTCTCTCTCTCTGTGTGTGTGTGTGTGTGTGTGTGTGTGCTTCTCAGATAATTTCCAAATAAGAATAATATCTGTAAAAGTCAAGGTGATTGGCTGGCGTCTGTAGAACTCCACAAAGCCTTGTTTCTGCTCAGCTCATTTGAAGGAAGCTTTTCCTATTTTCCCAGCCCAATAATGCTGACTAATATCACCTGGCTTGTTAACAGATGTTCCTGTTGATAGCCAAGTGCAAGTATGTACTGTATTTTTGAAATAAAGTTGGCAAATATGCTGAGCTATAAATACATATTAAGGCAAATTTTTCAATCTGGACTGTATGCAGTATCCTAATTTTAAAATAACTTGTGAAATTTGTTTATTTTTCAACAAGCTCTGTTTCTTTATAGACTAAAATGTGTTGCCAAGCATGGCCTGCTGTTTCTTTCCCCTGAATTCTTGCTAGCGTTGAAGGAAGAGACTGCAGTGGACGGTGCCTTGTCATTTTCATTTTGCTTTGTATCAGTTTATAGCCCAATCAGAGATTCAAGGTGGATGCTAACCCAGAACCATTTTAAGAGTTGGATTTTCTAATGCTATTCCCTAACTGTGCCTCATCTAATAATAGTACTTCAGAAAACTGCAGCGTTCCAGGATGTACATTCGGAACCATACTGATTCCCAAATGCTGCTCTAACTTCTCCCACTGCCAGCCTTCCTAACAA